AGGAGGAGGAGGAGGAGGAGGAGGAGGAGGATACTAATGGAGCAGGAGGAGGAGGGAGGAGGTGGAGGAGAAGGAGGAGGAGGAGGAGGAGGAGGAGGTTCAGGTGGTGGACGAGGAGGAGCAGGAAGAGGGGGGGGCTCAGTGCAATCAACGACGTTGCAATCAACCCTCCCTCCAATGTCCCTCCACAGGCTCCTATAAGGATGTTTTTTCACTGCGGGAAGAGCCCCCGTTGGAAGACAACCGTTTGACGAAACTTCACCGTGCCGATAAATCGTTCTTGGGACTTTCTCTCCAAGAAGCAACGTCACTGCTGCGACCTGATCCTCTTATATTGTACCAAAGCATCAGTTCTGGGACGTCAACACCACGAATTACCATGACTGGCGCGCCCTGACAATCCTAAACCGTATCGCAATACCAGTTTCAGGACGTCAGCCAAAAGATCCCTTGACGCTGTTGTCATCTATCAAGACGAATGTGCGCGGTGCCAAGGCGAGAGCCACACTTTGAAAAGAAATCGCCCTTCCTCTGTGAAGCTGACGACTGCGCTGCGCTAAGGCGAGAGCCACATGTTAGAAAAACTATCCGCCCTCCATCCGTGAAGCTGTTGCAATTTTCAAGCTTCAGGCTCACCAGCGGTGGGGAAGTCTCATGCGAAACGCCCGGCCCGCCCTTCCGGCCCGTCTCGGGGTGCGACAGGGAGGAGCTCTTTACAAGGAAGAGGAATGGAGGAGGAGGAGGATGAGGAGGAGAAGGAAGAGGAAATGGAGGAGGAGGAGAAAGCAAGGGAGCAGGGACGAGAAGGATCACGAGGAAGTGGACAACGACGAGGAGAGAGAGAGAGAGAAGGTGGATGATGATGATGATGATGATGATGATGATGATGATGATGATGATGATGATGATGATGATGATGATGCTGATGCGGATGCGGATGCGGATGCGGATGCGGATGCGGATGCTGATGCTGATGCTGATGCTGATGCTGATGCTGATGCTGATGCTGATGCTGATGCTGATGCTGATGCTGATGCTGATGCTGATGCTGATGAGGATGAGGATGAGGATGAGGATGAGGATGAGGAGGATGAGGAGGATGATGAGGATGATGAGGATGACGAGGATGCTGATGCTGATGCTGATGCTGATGCTGATGCTGATGCTGATGCTGATGATGCTGCTGACGATGATGGTATGGTAGGGTAGGGTAGGGTATGGTATGGTATGGTTTTGTATGGTATGGTACGGTATGGTATGGTATGGTATGGTATGGTGTTGGGTTGAGCGGACAAAAGTCCACCTGCCGACGCTGCGGCTCGCCAGCGGGAGTGGCGACGAGGAGCCCGAGGGCCACACCAGACAGGTGCACCCCAGCGACGGACCTCCCAGGAGGGGAGACCCGTGGCCAAGGCCCCACCACCCCCGCGGGGACGGAGACCCACGGGCAACCGAACGCAGCCCCCAGGGCCGCGCCCAGGACCCCGCGGCCCGAAACGAGGCAGCCTCCAGGCCGCCCCCAGAAGGACACCAGATTTTCGAGCCGAGCCCAGCAACTACGCGTAGCCGCCGCCCACTCATCCCCAAGTCATCTGGCCCCTTCTCTTCTTTTTGTTCGTCCGCTTCTTGCCCACGGGTGCCGTGAGCATGGAGCGGAAGTCGTCGACTGTGAGCCCGAACCCCTCCAGCACCCTCGCGAGCGCAGCCTCGTGCTCCTCGGAGCCAGGCTCGAAGGGGTCGCAGGCCTGCACGATCTGGTTGCAGAGGCCGCCTGGAGCGTCTGCGTAGATCACATCGCCCCCTTGGCTCTCGTCCTCGGCCAGCCCCGTCAGCACCTTTGCCTCTACCATCGTCTCGCACTGGGGGGTGGCCACCCGTGGGGCCGCCAGCACCGCGGTACCGAAGACCGCTGCGTCCTCCAGCTCGTCGTGCTCGAGCCGCCACTGGGCGCGGCGGCATGCCGCCGCAGCGGCCGCCCTCGCGTGCGCCAGCTGGTTGGCCGCGACCGTGGCCTCCCAGCTCCGCGGCCCCCTCGCGCTCGGCTCCTCGCCGCCAGAGAGGCTCACGACCTTCGTCATGTTGCCAGCTCATTCATCACCTCCTTCTCGTACTCGTGGACGTTTTCGTCCTGCTCGGAGCCCGCCGCGGCGCTCTCAGAGGCGCCCGCCGCCGACGCCTCCGCTGAATACTCCGTGCAGGACCACGAAACGCCCTCTTCGGCCTCCTGGGTCACGCCCGTCGGCACGTGAGCGATGTTCTCGACGTACTCTGCCATCGGCACCTTCACGATCTTTTCTGTCTCTTCGGCCTCCTGGGTCACGCCCACCGGCACGTGAACGAAGTCTTCGACGTGCTCTGCCATCGGCACCTTCACGATCTTCTCGGTCTTCCCAGCAGAGGCGTTCAGCACCTCGATGCTATCGACATGATGCGCCATCGCCACCTTCACGGTCTCCGCCTCGACCTTCACGGCCTCCAGCTTGACCGCCTCCTCGGGAAGGTCCTCGACGTCCCGATCGTCCTCGGCCAGGCCGCACTTGGCCAGCACGGGGAAGACAGGGACTGCAGGGAGCTCCTCGCATACAGTCTGGACCACGACATCGCTGGCCTCCTCATCGATGCTCTTGCAGTCCCCGATGAGCTGCTGCGCCACCGACACAGCCTGGTCCCTCTCGACCACGAGGGCCTCGTGCGCACCCCTGAACGTGCCCTTGAGGAACTCCATGATGAGCTTCTCCCCCAGGAGCAGGGAGTGCACCTCGAGCACCGCACCGCCCGCGTGCAAGATGGCGGCAGGTCCGCCCATCTGCCCGGCAGGCCACGGCGGCGCGCCACACTCGTCGCAGACCGCGGTCACGGCCTGGCCGTTGCTCTCCGCAGACGCGCCGCTCTGAAGTACGCCTGCAGAAGCTCTGGGGCCCCCCGCCCACATAGCCAGAACGGCTTGAGCCAAAATGGCTACGGATGTTGTTGATGATGATGATGAGGAGGAGGAGGAGGAGGAGGATGATGCTGATGATGATGATGATGATGCTGATGTTGATGCTGATGCTGATGCTGATGCTGATGCTGATCATTCTGATGCTGATGCCGATGCTGATGCTGATCCTGATCCTGACGATTATGGTGATGGTAATGGTGATGATGGTGGTGGTGATGATGACGACCACGATGAAGATGCTGATCGTGATGATGCTGATGATGATGCTGATGCTGATGTTGTTGATGATGATGACGATGATGATGATCATGATGATGAAGATGCTGCTGCTGCTGACGACGATGATGATGATGATGATGATGATGATGATGATGGTGATGATGATGATGATTATGATGATGCTGATGATGATGGTGATGATGACGATGACTATGACGACGAGGATGATGATGATGATGATGATGATGATGATGATGATGATGATGATGATGATGATGATGTGTTTGATGATGAAGGCGAAGAGGAGGAGGATAATTGATCAAGAGGGCAGGGCTAGGAAGAGCAGGGAAGATAATTAAGGGGAAGGGGGGAGGAATGAAGAATGAGACGGATGGTCATGACGGAGAGCGATGAGGGGTGAAAAGAGGCAGATGACGAGGGGCCAGAAGAGCAGGGGGAGAGCAGGCAGCAGGCAGCAGGGAGGATGATGATGACTATGATGCGATGGCGACTGCGACGACGACGATGACGATGCTGATGATGATGACGACTATGATGATGATGATGATGATGATGATGATGATGATGACGACGATGATGATTATGCTGCTGGTGTTGATGATGATGATGACGATCCTGACCATGCGTATGAGTATGATGATGCTGCTGATGGTACAGTCGGTGCTGAGAATGGCAATGATGATGGCAATGCTGGCGACTATGATGACGATGATGATGATGACGGTGATGGGATGCTGATGCTGATGGTGATGATGATGGTACTGATGAGTATGATGATGCCGACGACGATGATGGTGATGATGATGATGATGATGCTGCTGATGATGATGATGCTGATGATGCTGATGATGATGTTGATGGTGGTGATAATGATGTTGATGATACTGTTGTTGGTGATGATGATGGTTATGCTGGTGCTGATGATGATGTTGATGATAGTGATGATGATGTTGAGGATGGTGATGATGATATGACGGTGATGATGGCGATGATGACGATGATGATGATGATGATGATGCTGATGATGGTATGATGGTGATGATGATGATTCTGATGGTGATGCTGCTGCTGCTGCTGTTTTTTTTGATGATGATGATGATGATGATGATGATGATGATGATGATGATGATGATGCGCACGATGATGATTCAGATGAAGATGATGATGATGATGATGATGATGATGATGTTGATGATAATGAGGCTGATGATAGTGATGATGATGATGATGATGATGATGATGATGAAAAGGATGATGATGATGATGATGATGACGATGATGATGATGATGATGATGATGATGATGATGCTGATGATGATGATGATGATGATGATGATGATGATGATACTGTTGATGGCGATGATGATGATGATGATGATGATGATGATGATGATGATGATGATGATGATGATGCTGATGATGATGATGATGATGATGATGATGATGCTGATGATGATACTGTTGATGAGTACATCCCCAGGACGACAGTTTTTTCCTCTTGGGCCCAGAACGACGGTGTGAACTCTTGAGCAGACCCGTATGAGATAACCGCCGTCGGATATCATGAAGTTCGCGCGGATCCAAATGTGGCTTTGGTGTTTGTTTCGGTGGATCCGATTTCCGTCCGCACGGATCCGATTTCGGATTCGCTGGATCCGTGTCGGGTCTTATTTTTGACGGCGGATCCGATTTCTACCCTGTTTGAAATTTATAATATTATTCAATGAAACCAGGGGACCGGAAGAAATCGGATCCGCGGACCCCGCAAACCGCCCGTGTTAAGATTCTATGGGGGAAGGGGGGTTCGGTAATCAACTTTCCACGATGGGCCCTGCGTCGTCTCGCGCACTCCCATCAACTCCCCGCGCGAGCGGGCCCTATTAAACATGAATGTGTACATCCCTCCTCCCCCGGTTGCTGCAAACAGCTCGTCCGGTCGCCGTCCGTTCGGCGGCGCCGACGTTGTTTCGCGAACTCCTCATGGCCATTTTCACCTCAAGAGGAAAATCGCTCGTCCTGCGTAAGTGCGTTTCGGCCCTGCGTCTCCTCACCCAACGGACTGCCTGTGAGATGTGGTGTCGGCTGTGTGGTAACCAACAACGGATTGCGTGTGACATGTGGTGTGTCGGCTATGTGATAACCAACGAGTCCGAAGGCCAAAACGCTGCCCTGCGTCTCCTCACCCAACGGACTGCCTGTGAGATGTGGTGTCGGCTGTGTGGTAACCAACGACGGATTGCGTGTGACATGTGGTGTGTCGGCTATGTGGTAACCAACGAGTCCGAAGGCCAAAACGCTGCCTTGCGTCTCCTCACCCAACGGACTGCCTGTGAGATGTGGTGTCGGCTGTGTGGTAACCAGCAACGGATTGCGTGTGACATGTGGTGTGTCGGCTATGTGATAACCAACGAGTCCGAAGGCCAAAACGCTGCCCTGCGTGTTCTCACCCAACGGACTGCCTGTGAGACGTGGTGTCGGCTGTGCGGTAACCAACAACGGATTGCGTGTGACATGTGGTGTGTCGGCTATGTGATAACCAACGAGTCCGAAGGCCAAAACGCTGCCCTGCGCTCACCCAACGGACTGCCTGTGAGATAACCAAACGGATTGCGTGTGACATGTGGTGTGTCGGCTAGTAACCAACGAGTCCGAAGGCCAAAACGCTGCCCTGCGTCTCCTCACCCAATGGACTGCCTGTGAGATGTGGTGTCGGCTGCGTGGTAACCAACAACGGATTGCGTGTGACATGTGGTGTGTCGGCTATGTGATAACCAACGAGTCCGAAGGCCAAAACGCTCATCCCGAGGACGAAAGTTTCTTCCTCTTGGGCCCGGAACGACGGTGTGAACTCTTGAGCAGACCCGTATGAGATAACCGCCGTCGGATATCATGAAGTTCGCGCGGATCCAAATGTGGCTTTGGTGTTTGTTTCGGTGGATCCGATTTCCGTCCGTACGGATCCGATTTCGGATTCGCTGGATCCGTGTCGGGTCTTATTTTTGACGGTGGATCCGATTTCTACCCTGTTTTAAATTTATATTAGTAAATTTAACCAGGGGACCGGAAGAAATCGAATCCGCGGACCCTGCAAACCGCCCGTGTTAAGATTCTATGGGGGAAGGGGGGTTCGGTAATCAATTTTCCACGATGGGCCCTGCGTCGTCTCGCGCACTCTCATCAACTCCCCGCGCGAGCGGGCCCCATTAAACATGAATGCATACATGCCTCCTCCCCCGGTTGCTGCAAACAGCTCGTCCGGTCGCCGTCCGTTCGGCGGCGCCGACGTTGTCTCGCGAACTCCTCATGGCAATTTTCACCTCAAGAGGAACATCTTTCGTCCTGCGTAAGTATGACGAGGAATAGGAGGATGAGGAGGAGGACGAGGAGGACGAGCAGAAACCGCAACACCGCCAGTAGCAACACCAACAACAATTTTTGTGAGGAGTACGTCTGGATGAGGACGATGACGGAGAGTTGATGATCATGACGGAGAGGATATTGTTCATAACGATATTGTTTATAACGATATGCGAATCAAACATACTTGCCTTGCGAATGGCCCAACCATGTGCAGCTGCGTGCAGCGCAGGGCGCTTACCTCTCGTGCCGGAACTCGGGTTTGCCGACGCTTTTTTGACGAGGTCGTCCTGGATTTTGACTGTCCGGTTTTCGTGGGACGCTTGCACCGAGAGCTCGCGTCAAATTTCAGATTGGGCCGCGTCATTTTCATGAGGGCCCCGTCGGGCCAACCCGAGTATTCCGACTCCGAGTCTTCCGTCGCCCCGATCCCGTGGGGGCCGAAGGTGGAGCTCCATGTGGTGGCTTGAAAGTGTGGTTCGGATGCAACTCCTGGGAGGTCAAATTCTGATTCTGCGCTGGTCCGAAATCCGGCTTAATCCGGCTTAATCCGGCTTAATCCTGCTTAATCCCGCTTAATTCCGCTAAATCCTCTTAAACCCTCTTAATCCGGCTTCATCCCGCTTAATCCGAGGCCCACTCCGGCGTAATTGCTCCCAAATTGGGCTTCATCCTCCTTAATCTTTCCGACGAAAACCTCCCAGTAGTTGCCTCCTAGGTGTGGCAGGGGGCGGGCGAGGAGGGCGGGAGGCCGCCGTGCCGTCGCCGCCACGGGATCTCCCCAGGCGGCCTGCGAAGTGACAGGGGGGCCGCACGTGGACGCACCCACAGGGGCCTTACATATATATATATAATATATTATATATATATATATATATATATATATATATATATTATATATAAACATGCTCCGCGTGCGGATCGTGTGTGCAACATGCAAGGATTCAGTATTAAAAACAACGATGGGTTCATGCATAGGTTTGTTCATAACTTGATCGTGTATACCTCCTGTAGTGGCCTTCGGCCAGTGCCGCCCGCCGATCCGGGTCGCTCGGATACACATGTTACGCGGACACCTCACGCACGCACGCGACCGAATGCACATACGGCAGACACACATACAGAGACACACTCGGCGCACGCCAGACACTAGCACGCACAGACATTCGCAGACACGCACCACACACAGACACTCGCACAGGAGCCTGTCAGGGCGTCGAGGGGGCTTCTTGGGGGCTTTAGGGGGCCCTCTTGGGGGCTCTTGGGGC